CTCATTCACAAACACTGTGGCCAATTTAGTTTATTCAGTTCCCCTATAGCGTATGTCTTTATACTGTGGGGAGAACCGGAGCACCGGGAGGAAATCCACGCCAACACGTAGAGAACAAGCAAACTTTACAGAGAAATGCCAACTGACCCAGCCGGGACTCGAACCAGCGACCTCCTTGCTGTGAGGTGACAGTGCTAACCACTGAGCCACCGTGTCGCCCTAGATTAATTAATAGTAATTAGGGATCTTTTAAATACATTATTATTCTCTTAATTTATGCTGATAGGTATTTGAGTCCATGTGTGCGCACTTTCTACATGCTTGTCAGCCGATTGTGCGAATACTTTCAAGCCTGAATGGATGAATGAACAGTTGTTTGATCTAATAAAGCAGTCTCAGTTACAGCCATTAGCTGAAATAAAGTTGTATGAAGGCAGTTTGTTAAACAAACCAACCTTTTGACAAGTTACAAGCTTCTTTTTTTTTTGTCCGTCCTTCTCTTGTGTAAAGTAGCATGTAGCATCACTGCAGGCGTCACACTTTCTCTTCACACCAGAAATGTGTCTCGTTTCAGGAATAATGATAAATCTTTGGAGAGTCGAAAAAAATAATAAAGAGGCCACTTATGCTGCGAGCTCCTCGCAGTTCTACTCTATTAATATTTATGGCCACCTTCGCCCGCCGTGGTGCTCTTCACTTCGCTCTCTTTTATTAATATCATCAGAACAATGTCAGCAGGCCATTTTAAAGGGCCATTGAGATGAAATGGCCAAAGATGGATGCCCCCGCTGCATATGCATGCTGGCGAACGCATCGACCGTTTGCATCTGTTTTAGCACCGTCAGCCCATCGCAAAACACATTTGCCATAACGGCCCATATCCAAACTGTGTTTTTATTGCCTACAGAGAAGTCACGGGGTCATTAAATATATTTACTTTGCTGCTGCTTTAGCGATAAAGCGAGCAGTTTGGGTGCCATAGCTTGCTTTTATGATACAGAAAGCGTACAGGCGAGGATTTAGTGTGTGTGACTTAATGCTGCTCTCTGAGCCAAACAGTAACTCTGACAGGCTGATTCATGATTATTTGGCTTCATAATATTGTAGATAAGGTACCCGCCAACTCTTAAAGACTATTTGTAGATTGTTAGCATCAATAAATGATCATAAGCTCAGGCTGCACTGTAAAAAACAATTATAATAAAATCTCATTCTAAATAAAATTATTAGAGTATGTTTTTAGAAGAAAATCCAATTTCAAGAGATTTTCCACAAAAAGAAATTAAAATAAAATAAAAATGTTCAACCTCAAGAGGTTCCAAACCTTCATGGGTTTCTTTTTTTCTGTCGAACACAAAAGAATATATTGTAAAGAATGATGGTTTCCAACAGAGGGTTTAACAAAATGAAAGAAACTCCATTCTGTTTTGAAGAAGTGGAGGGTGAGAGTAATTTAGTTATTTTAGGTTGAGCTTTTGCCTTGTGTTTCTTACAGTTTTTTCAATTGTTTGTGACATTTTTGTATTGATTTAATCTCACTTGCAGTTTTTCAGCAAAAAATATTTTCCTCCTTTTCCCCAATGCGGTATAAAGAGGGCAAGTCTGTGGTAAATTGTTAGGTTATTTTAAATCATTACAAAAACGTGTGTGTGTGTGTATATATATATATATACACATATACACAAGTCACAAGTCAGAATTATTAGCCCCCTGGAATTATTTTTCTTCTTTTTAAAATATTTCCAAAATGATGTTTAACAGAGAAGGAAAATTTTTACAGTATGTCTGATGATATTTTATCTTCTGGAGAAAGTCATATTTGTTTTATTTCGGCTAGAATATAAGCAGTTTTATTTTTTTAACACCTTTTTAGAGACAAAAATTTTAGCCCCTTTAAGCTATATTTTTTAGAATTGTTTGTCTATTGTTAGCATGACAAACATACTAATACTGTACCAATTTACTCAGTTTGATTTTGGATTAAACAAAAATTAAAGTTTTGTATTTTGTTTATCATCTTATACTAGTAGAGTTTGTTTCAGTCTGAATCCTTGCACAAAAGTGATGGATTGTTTGTCAGTTGTTAGCATGACAAACATGCCAATCCTGCATAGCAGGCCACTACATGAAAAAGTTAGTCAGTTTGTTTTTGGATTACACAAAAATGACAGCTGTTTATCAACATTTCATGATAATATGAGTGTGTTTGTTTCAGTTTAAATTCTTGCACAAAATAATTATAAAATTGCTTGTCAAATATTAGCATGCCAAACATGCTAACAAGTCAGGTTATTAGATGAATAGTAGATTAGTTTCAGCATAACAGTTTGATAAATGTTCAAACAGGCTGTTTGGTAACTGTTAGCAGCATGACAGCACATTATTAACTAATGCACATTAACTTTGTGGGTTTGTTTCAGCATAAGATTTTTGCTTAAAATGATGAATTCAATTTAAATAATTTCAATTTAATTTAATTCAATTTGTTTATTGTCATGTGCACAGAAGGAAACAAGTTTCCCTGTACAATGAAAGTCTTACTTTGCCGTCCACAGTAAAGTCATACACATAATATACACATCAAACACTTCATAAACATGTATACACACACACAAACACACACACTGATTGTGGAGTAATGTTAACAGATGTAAACAATGTATAGTAGTTAATTGTTTAAAATTGTGCTTATTATGTGATTGTGCTTGTGAATGTGTATGTTAGCAATAAATTGTTAGCATGAAAACAAAAAGCAAGCATCTCAGACTAATATATTAGTAGTGTAGTTTGTTTCCGTCTTATTCAAAGCAGTAAAGTTGAAGGTTGTCAATTGCTAGCAAAAACATGCTAATAAGCATGGTTGGTTTCAGCATAAAGGGTTTGAAAGTTTTTAGTAAAGCGAAAGAGTGCATCTTGTGGAAGACAAGTTTCAGGAGAGTGAAAAGAAGCAGCGAGCGCAGTCAGAAAGCAGACGGCCACCAAAGCGCTAATTGACAACTTCACTTGCATGTCATCAGTGATATTACAGTTAATCGAATCGCCATTAACAGACACCATCTGCTCTTTATTATGGTTTCAGGCTGCTATGCTGTCCTAGCTTGCCGTGTGTCAGCTCCTCTTGTTTTTAACCGGTCCACAGAGACGTCAACATCGAGACGCGCTCATGACAAGGCCTCACTTTAGAGTAGCAAAAGCGTGATGTGTTCGCCAACTGCTTTTGGTGTCTCTCGTCCTCCTCCTCCCTCTCTTTCTGTCTATCTCTGTTAAGCTGCTAACAGAAAACTGAGCTCCAGTATGTCTGTGAAACACCCACCATTCCTGTCCATCCCTTTAGCTGTCCAAACATACAAGCCCACCAATACACACACGCACACACACACACACACGCACACACATACAGATACACATACACACACACTTTTTGTTCTCTTTTTTTACTCTTGAAGGGGAGCCAGATGTGCAGTTTCATACCTTTACATTTATTAATAGACCTAAATTTAATTTAAAATATCTAAATCAACAGAAAATCCATGGATTAACTACATTTTTTGTTTACTGTAAATAAAACATTATTATATTGTTATTATTATTATATCATTAGCACATCTAACAGTGGCAAAGTTTAACAGTTTTATCATTAAATATATTTTCATATTTAAAGTACTGATCACTAATCAATGTGTTTGTGTTTTTCTTTTTTCTTGATTTTATTTTGTTTCATTATCATATCATATTATCACATTTTTATTTTTAACCTATTCTTTACTTTCTTGTATAAAAATTGTTTTTATATTTAAATGTTGAATTAAATTAATTATTTTGTCACTTTTTATCAATGTGTTTGTTTTTTTATTTTTTTTCTGTTTTCTTTTTATTGTTATTGTATTTTTATTGTTATTAAACTTGAACACATTTTTATTACTTTATTTTATTTCATTTTAACTTTACTTTTTTCATTTTATTGTATATTTATTTTTATATTTTGGTATTAACGTGCTTGTGTTTTTCTTTTTATTGAATTTTATTCAAATCTCATTATTGTATTTCATATATGAACTTATTATTTATTTATTTTAATACTTTTTTGTTATTTTAAACTTATTTGTCAAATTTCTTTTGTATTTTGACGTTTAATTTAATTATTTTTGTCATTTTTTAACAATGTTTTTTTCTTTTCTTTTTTCTTTTCTTTTCTTTTATTCTATTTTAATTTTATTAATGTATTTTATACTTTTATTTATTTTTATACGTATTTTTATTTTATGTTATATTAACCTTTTTTATATTTTTGTATTTTGATGTTTAATTTAATTATTTTTGTCACTATTAACAATGTGTTTTTATTTTAATTTATTCTATTTTATTCTATTTTAATTGTATATTTTACTTAAACTTTTATTTTTTTATTTCACACTTATTTTTATTTCATATTATTTTCAACTTATTTTTTATATTTCTTGTATATTATTTTTATTTTAATGTTTAATTATTTTTGTCACTTTTAACAATGTGTTATTTTAAAATTTATTTTATTTTATACCATTTTAATTTAATATTGTATTTATGCTTAATGCTTAATACTGTTTTATTATTTGTACCTGTTTTTATTTTATTTTATTTTAAACTTATTTTTTATATTTCTTGTTTATTTGTTTTTATATTTTGACGTTTATTTAATTTTGTTACCTTTTTTAACAATGGGTTTTTCTTTTTAAATTTATATTCTATTATTCTGTTTTAATTTTGTTATTGTATTTACTATTTTATTTATTACTTATTTTGTTTCATGTTACTTTAACCTTATGTTTCACTTTTCTTGCATATTTTCTTGTTCTTATATTTTGATTAATTTATTTTCATTCATTCATTCAATTATTCATTCATTCATTTATTTATTTATTTAATTGTTTGTTTATTTACTTATTTATTTATTCATCTGTTAATCTGTTTGTTTATTTATTTATTTATTTATTTATTTTGTCCTTATCTTGCTGCTCCAGAAGAAATGCGTATTCCTACTCTTATTACCTGTAAGTAGCATTAAATACAGAACATCAATCAACAACTCATGTTTTAAATCTGTGCTTTCCCATTCCCCTTTTCTACTATCAAGTACATTTGTCTTTAAAAGTTAGTAAGAGAATAAAAGAAATATATGAAAATCAAGTTGAAGTTAAACAAAAGTTAGCACCTAAACTTTGCCATGACGAACAAAGCTTCTCAAATTAAGAAACAGCTTCATTTGCAATAATCTGTTGAGTCAGTTTAATATTTCATCACCCTTTGCTCCGACACAGCATTTTTTCAACCCATAAACCATTTTATATGCTACATATACCTAGAGTTTGCATTGAAATAAAACCTACAGTTCTAAATTGTCCTCATGTGCACATAAATAGTTGCAGCTCCACTGTTATCTTATTATTATAGACTATTGCTAGTTCAGCTCAAATCCCTTTGGACTCCTCCTCTACTTTTTATTACTTTTTCCCGTTACGCTTAAGCTATTCACTATTACCTCAGCTCTTCTGCCTGCCTCAGCGTTTTACTGCGCAGGATTGTTTAATTTGCGCTGTGTGCAACAGAGCCTGGCTGCAGGATGTTTACCTCACGCGTTAAAGGATTTAAAAGCTCAGATTCTCAGTCAGACTACAGTGTGCAGTCGCACCGCTCCTGAAATATAGATGAATGTAGGAACACAGCCGGGAGGAACTCTTTCAAAAGGATTTCATCTGAAAGGGCATAGACAGACAGCTACAAGCTAAAGCTAACCGTGACGCCAAGATATTCTCCTAACCCGGAGAACCAGTTTTTCTTAGATTCAGTAGGGTTATAGACTTAAAAACTCAATAGTGGCAGTAAATGCATCTTTAGGTCACATTTAGACTACGTTTTGCTGAGTTTATACTAAATTAAAATAGTTGGGTTAAACATACCCCAACATATAACCCTTCTATAGGTTATTATAGCACTTTCCCAACCATGGGTTATTTTACCTCAATGCATTGGGTATTTTGACTAAATGGTTTTACTATCGCTCCTTGCTCCTTCAGGTTTGCACGCTCAGGCACCCACCCTTCCTATGCAAGTGACGTCATTTGCAATCAACACTTGCACCTGTTATGCCACTTGAAATCAACACCAATAAACTTAAAGTAAGTTTCCAGCTTGTTTGCAGTGACAGTGACGACGCTGTCAAATAATTCTAAGTACTTAAGTTGTATACCATGACAGACCCCAGGCAGGTCACAGGACAATTGCAAAAATGCAGATGTCGATGCAAGTGACGTGGCAGGAGAGTGGAGGGCTCGGTTGCATGAAGTCCAAAAAATCCCCCAGGTTGAGGTTAAGGGTACCCTAAGTAAAAGTTGATTTGCAAAGTGAAAAAAAAAAGAAAAAAGATCGACTTAAGGAATTTAAGACTGCCATTAAGTATTTCCCCTTAACCATTTCCTTTTAAAACATTTAAGGGACCTAATCAGCTCCCTTCAACAAATGAGACTCAAAATGCTAGCATTCTTATCCAAAAAAGGTTTTAGGTAAAAGACTCCCAGCACTGTAAATAAATAATTTAATAAAACCATTTAACAAATAAACTAATAAATGTCTTGATAAGTTAGCACGTCTGCGCAGGAGTGCATCCATATGAAATTGCAGTTTCAGTGCAGTCTCTGCATGATCCCAGCCAAGTTGTATAGGTTCTCAAAACATAATGTCGAGATGGACTCGATAAGGGAATGCCTCAACTTGCTTTACGGAAAGAAAGCGGCACAGATGATGTGTAACATTACTGCAAAGCTGTTGTAAGGCAAGCATTCATGGTTCGTTACGATCTGTTTACATAACTATAGCAACTGTGGTGCCCCTCGCCGTACGTTGCCAGAAACTACAGTAAAACGCATATAAAAAAGGTACTTGAGTAAGGGTGACAGATAAGAAGTTTGTTGCAATGATCTTAATGAAATGCGTAATCTCAGATTTTTTCCGCCTCAGGGACACCCTTAAGTTAAATTACAGATAGAGTTTCATGGAATCAGCCTTAGATGGCGATTGTAAATGACGTCACATGCAGAGGAAGCGCGGTTGCCTGAGCATGCAAGCCTCATGGTGCAAGTGCAAATCTGCAGCCAGACTCTATTGACTATTACTAGTACTGTACTACTGTTAATATTATATTATGGCTGTGTAAATAAATAACATGGCGTTTTTGGAAATTTTGAAAATGCTTTATTTCTATTTTAAGTTCCAGACACTTTGTTGTATTTACCTGTTTAATATATATCGGCTGTGAAGCGCACTTTGTATCATCAATAATTAGGAGTGCTGGTGAAACGGACATACAAAAAACAACACGGAGAGGTCATTTGATAAATCAATAACAATATTATTGTGTTAAAGCTTGAATAAACAAAATAATACAAAAAAGACACATCACATATTAATACAACTGATTAAACTGTGTCAGATTGAAATGTAACATTTTTAACCCAACTGGTTGAGTAATTATTAATTACCCAATAAAGGTTAAAAATAACCCATCAAGGCTCCAAATAATTTTAACTCTACTATTGGGCTAAATAAATAACTACATTTTTTAGAGTATAGATTTTTTGCATAAATAAAAACGATAGAGAAAAAAAATTAAATCAGCATATTATGGTGAACGTTTTTAATATTGTAAAAAATATGTGCCCACTGTAAAGAAATCTTGCTGACTTACATTTTTTTAAGTTGAATTAAATTGACTTTTTTTAGTCTGAGTAAACTGAATAAAAGTTAAAGTTAAATTTTGTGTTACTTTAAAAAATGTCTAAATTGGTATAAATAGTATGTACTTTGAGGTCACATTTGCAACATAGGCTAATTCTGAACACGTAGCCCTATATGCAATCCTGGAGATTGTGAATTATGTAGCCAGAAGAATGTATATGGCTGCATTTTATCTTTAAAACGAACCCTATGGGGCGGCTGGCGGTTGGGTTTAGGAAGTGGGTGGTCGAGTGGGTCAGTCAAGCGGTCAGTCAGTCAGTCAGTCAGTCGACAGCGGCCTCTGGTGGATTAACGTGAGAACAGCAGGCACGAATGGCACTTGCAAGAGAAATTTAAGATCTCAAAAAGCGTACACAACTGCCTCCGGGGGATTCGCGAAAAACCACACTTTTGTCCTTGGTAAATGACAAGCTGAGTTGAAAAAGAGAGATAGAAAAAAAACATATTATAACATCATATTATGGTAGATGCTTTTAAGTAGGTATATATTATAAAATTAGGGTATGATTTATGCTGCTTTCACACGCTATGGGAATTTTTTTTGTGTGTAAATACCCATAACTTGTGATTTATGGGTATTTTTCATTTATTTATGTTTGCGAATTAGATTAATGTTGAAAAGTTTGGCACAGTTAGCAATTATAAGTTGCGTAACACATTGGTGAATAAAGTTTCCATGCCATGTGTGTTCAAGAGAATAAACTCTTTCCTTTTTAAGAAGCTAGTGTGATATGGGAAATAGGATTTATTTTTAAAATAGCTCTGAAAAAAATGGACTTTCATTTTTGTGACGGACCACCATTGCTTATTATTATTATTATTATTATTATTACTGGTATTATTATTATTATTATTATTATTACTGTTATTATTATTATTATTATTATTATTATTACTGTTATTATTATTATTATTATTATTATTATTATTATTATATGCTGCTCTTGTTTGACTGCATAGGTCTAGCAATGAAATGCAATATATTTTTTTACTTTACACAATATTAGTAAGATCACCTGCAGAATTCTACTTGCTATTTTCGTGGGAATGTAAACCCATTAAGCCTCCCCATGTGTTTTTGTTAGCATATACTTTTACCTAAATATCTATTCCACTGTCCACTTTTGGAATAATAATTTCAATATATGATGATTATAGCATGGCAAAGCAATCCTAATATGTGATGCTGACTTAACAGCATGTTTAGAAGTTAGTGTGCGCGTGCATTTACAGTACACATTTGGCAGACGCTGTAATCCAAAATGACATTGAGACAAGATAACACTGTATTCCCTGGGACTCAAACCTTGTCCTTGTTAATGCAGTGCACTACAAGCCAACCTCCAGCAACCTTGTGCATGCATGCAACTGAACAAAATGCAAAGGTTATTTTGAGATGTTTTGCATGCTTAGTAATACTGCTCTAACAAGCACTTGATTTGGCATGTTCATGAGTGCATTGTACAATTTCCTCCATTCTGGTTTTAGCTCAACCAAGTGTGATGTCTTTATTAATGAACATTTGTACATTTTATGCATGAGTGAAGACAAAAATCAAGGCTGAAAACGTATTTTACTGCTATCTCTCCATTGTCCCCCTACTTTCTTTCTCTTTTACAAAGCCGATGCTATAAAGACTGTTTATAGTCGCCTTACTACATTACAGCCTTAAGTTTTAATGAAGTGCTGCTCTGACATTCATTAAATAAGGATTATCTATAGTTTATGCCACTTAATACATGTCCAGAATTTGGCACCTGAAATAAGAGCCATTACCGCAGTATTTAGTGGGTTTTTATTATTTACGGGCTGCTGCATTATAAAATAATGTGACCTTCAGCATGCTTTGTGAGACAAAGCTTTGTTGATGTTGTCTTGATAGGAAACACACTAAGATTTTGTGTAGAGTGTTGCAATTTATGTGATCCCAGCACTTTATAGCCATCACTTTGGTGCTTGGCTGCTTAATTGAAAAGTCATGACCCTTCTCTTATTGCTTCTGGATGTTGAGACCTGCTTCAGAACAGGTTTTGTCCTTTTTTGATCCTCAGTCTCCAAAAACCAATGTTGCTGAGTTTATTTCCCAACCTAGGTAAAAATGGCCCCAATTTTAAAGCTTGGCCTGGTTTTTGTGGAAGCTGAAACTTCATTTGATTTTTTTTCTTTCTTCCTTTTTTTAAATTCCCAGCAGAGAAAATAACAAAACAAAGAGTTATTATCAGCTCGGCCCCGTAAGAGAAGGGAGCACATATTGAGGTCAAATGGTGTTCTGTGGGACTTAGAGAATCAAAGAGTCATTTTATTGGATGACTCCAATCCATCGCTGACACTAATATCTTCCTTGAAGTTCTGTGCACTAACATGTGGTGAGACTCCAGCTTATGAACCGCCAGACAAATCAACAAATCAAAGACCTGCAGAAGTTATGGTTTTATAAAAAGATGCCTGCAAATTATATATATATTTAACATCATTTTTGAGGGGTCATTTTTATAGATAATATGGAGGATTGGCAGGTGAAGAGGTGGGATTAGTGCAGTAAACGTTGCAAACCAGATTTGAAAGATTTGTTGTGTCGAGATACTAACTGCTTGGTTGTTTATCTTGCCTGACACAATTTTAAGCAGTATAAAATGCGTCCAAAGTGTAGCCGTACAACCTGCAGATAATTGTACAAAAGGCATCTATTATCCATATACTATACAGTGGAGATCAAAAGTAGAGGAGAATTTATAATCAATTGAATTTAATAATTCAATCTTTGTCATTCTGAATTGGGAATAATTTTAGTTTTTTCTAAATACCATATATATTATTTATATAAAATATATATTATTTTTTTAACAAAATAATAAATCACTTTTTTGTGGAAACAACAGTGATCAACATTAGTAAACAGAAATGATTTAAGATTGACTTCATGGGTTGTACCATCTTCATTTCTTTAGACATAACTTTGTTTCCAAGGATTTTGCAGAGATATTCAATCAGGTTTAGATCAGGGGACTGTTCTTCGGACAAGGATTACTCAGTTAGCTGGATTTGGTTATTGATGATTTGACACGATCCAGGATCGTTTCGTTCTTCAAAACTGACCGGAGAGTTGATGTCTTCGCAACAGTTCTGGTAGTTCAAACCTGCTAGGGAGCAGGCTCATTTCATATAAACAGGATTAGATCAGGTTAGTTCAAGCAAAGATAACTGAAAGAATGTACCAAATTCTGATATTTTCTTACAGTAGTAGTAATATACACTTGGGAAAATAGTAAATATATATTTCAACTAGGACCCCACGACTATGGTTTGGCCTTGTCATCGTTGTCTTTATTGAACAATCAACATTTCTGGAATTCTGACAATGAAGTGTTATGTATTCAGTAGGATTGACCTGCAGGATCCCATTTGCACTTTTCATAGGAATGTAAATCCTTAAATCCTCCCCATGAGTTAGTGTTAGCATGTACTTTTTTCTAAATATCTATTCTGCTATCCACTTTTGGATTAATAGTTTCAATGTATGATGATTTTGTCATTGCATAGCAATCCTAATATGTGATGCTGTGTATGATTATTCCTGACTTAAGAGCATGTTCAGATTTTTGCGCAGATCAGGATTCTGGTTTGGCCTTGTCATCATTGTCAGGATTTGTCTTTATTGGGCAATCAACCTTTCTGAATGAGTTATTGGCATTATAAAGATTGACCAGAAAGGGATTTTCTTTGGCCTTCATCTGGACAACATTCTGTTGGAGGCTTTAGAACAACTCACTTTCTTTGACACTCAATAAAACTGGGAACATAGACTACCAGTTAATTAGGTTTTGTCAGATAAATAAGATGCTAGATTAACACCAGTAACTGTGAGGTATCTGAAAGTGTTCTTAAATCTTGATTAGTGTTTTTATAGTCTGTTTTAGAATAAATGTAACACATGAACTCTGCTTAAAAACTGCTCTTCTACTTGCTTTGTGTAACAAACAAAAGCATGACAATAAAAGTGAGGATTCAAATTCAGTTTATTCATAACAAGGGCAGTCAAAACATACAGGGTTAAACGCCATCAAACACAAAAATCCAGGAGAAGGCAAAGAGTATTCTAAAAACTAGCGAGAGATCAGGGAAGCAAGCTAACAATCACAAAATCGAAGAACCGTCCACAATGCAAAACCAACTCTACGGATTGTACACGACTACAAAAACAACACTCCACAATGTTACTCTGTGGGCTGCTGCCTAAATAGTGTGTGTGTGTGATGAGAAACAGGTGAAGTAATAACCAGTGCAGTGAAATGTGGGAAATGATGTCAGGGTGAATTAATAAAGGAACATAATAAAGCATCCTTTACTGGAGTTTGTGACATTAGAGGATAACTTTAGATAGGACTAAACATTAGCCTGAACATTTAGGTAGTTCTCTGTTTTGATCTCTAATATAAATACGTGCAGTGGCAGTAGGCAGAATGGTAACACTTTAATTTATATCACAATTTATGCTATTAACTACTGGCTTATTACCTGCCTGTTATTGAGATATTAACGGTTCATTAGTAGTAATAAAGTATGATCCCTTTACCTAAACCCAATTTCTACCTTACTAAATATCAATAGACAGCTAATTAGTAGTTTATTAAGCTATTAGTGTTAGTTAATGGTTTGTTAATACGGTGAAATGTCTCAATTTAATGCTCAGCCAACTACAACTAAGAGAAAGCATCCCGAAAGCACAATGGAAGCATTTTAAGCCATCATCACTGAGCGAATGTGTTTATGCAAAGTTTTCCTGATCATTAGACTTCAGTTAGTGTCTAGTTGGCTTTGTTCTACATGGCAAGGTTTTGAGTTTTCTCACTCTTAATTTGATTGCGATTTTCTTTTCACACTCTCACGGCATATATCACTGCAGAAGAAATGTATATGTATATTATATATCAGAAATATTAGTCAATGTCATTTGAATAGACAATGCCATTTTTATTTTCTCTCCTCTATGTGCTTGTCTGTCTATATTTGTCTTATATGTCAAATTTACAGCAGTGCTTTGGTTTAGTATGCAGAAGCTGTACTTGTACAGTTGAAGTCAGAATTATTAGCCCCCTTTATTTTTTTTTCTTTTATAAATTTTTCCCAAATGATGTTTAACAGAGCAAATAAATTTTCACAGTATGTCTGATAACATTTTTTCTTTTGGAGAAAGCCTTATTTGTTTTATTTCGGCTAGAATAAAAGCAGTTTTAAATTTTTTAATACCATTTTAAGATCACAATTATTAGCCCCTTTAAGCTATATATTTTTCCGGTGTCGACAAAACAAACCACTGTTATACAATAACTTGCCTAATTACCCTAACCTGTCTAGTTAACCTAATTAACCTAGATAAGCCTTAAAATGTCTCTAAGCTGTAAAGAAGTGTCTTGAAAAATATTTAGTCAAATATTAAATGATTATGTTTAAAAAATGTGTTGAAGAAATCTTCTCTTTATTAAACAGAAATTGGGGGAAAAAATAAAAATTGTTGGAACTTTTAGAGAACTTTTAGAGTTCTATTAATTTGGGGCGTTAATGGTTCTGACTTCAACTATATATATATAAATATTTATATATATATATATATATATATACAGGAGCGAGTTTGCACTAGCCAAAAGCATTGCACCAACACACTGAAGATGTTGCTTTTGATCATGTTTATAAACTTGTCTTGCTGTGGCTGGGTTTGAAGGAAACTAGCTAAGAAACAGAAGGAGACAGCCAGCAGCAGCACGCAGAGAGAGATGGGACCCGTAGGCACAGCGGATAAAAGCACAGGAAAAGTCAGCACATTACACAAGGACGATCCGTTCTCCACCAGCAACCAGGACCTCAACGGATTCTGTGAGTTCAGCAAATATTGTGCTGTGCCATTATTGTGCTGCATTGTGTTTGTTTTTTGTTAGTGTTTTTATCCTCTGATAATGCGGAAAGTTAACGTTAATGAAGCAAATGAGCGAATGAATTAACACAAAATAACAAATGCACAAGCAAATGAATGATTGAATTAAAGGTTTATGACAGCCTGGAGTACTTTTTTTTTTTTTTTTTTAGATTTTAACAGATTTGTGTGTGTTAAGCATCAGTTAAGAGATTAGCACCTGTCACCTTTAACCTCTTAAGGCCCAAGGTGTTTTTTTTTTACATGCATTTTTTATTTCTCTTTGCTATTTGGACTTATTGGAACCTAATTAAAATAAAACCTAAGTATCGTCTTTTGATATGATGTACTTTTAGAGAAAAATTATGTCCATATATGTGGAATCGTAGTAATTTACATAAAACACTTTTTCCTGACTGTATTTATTTATTTATTTATTTATTTATTTATTTATTTATTTATTTATTTATTTATTTATTTATTTTTATTTATTTTTTTGAACATGTTATGACTATCAGAGAGTAAAAACTATTTTCCCCCCATTTTAGATAGTTAGAAAAAGTGTTTGGGACATTTCATATGCTGCAAAACAGTTGCAGGATGACACTTTATGTCTGTAACAAAATATAAAACACTCAAAGTATTTTAAATAGCCACTTAAGAGCTAAAATGCGCGGTCCACGTATGTGGCCCCTAAGCCCTAGGACAGTGGTCACCAAACTTGTTCCTGGAGGGCCGGTATCTTGCAGATTTTTGCTCCAACCCTAATCAAACACACCTGAACAAGCTAATCAAGGTCTTACTTGGTATACTTGAAACATCCAGGCAGGTGTGTTGAGGCAAGTTAGAGCTAAACCCTGCAGGGACACCGGCCCTCCTGGACCGAGATTGGTGACCCCTGCCCTAGGAGGTTAATTGTGAAGTTGCGCGAATCTGCTAATGGAGCGATGATGCGTCGGTTTCTCATTATTATTCATAGCAGAGTTTTCTTATCCTATGAGAAGACCCTGCTTCTTAATTATTCATGAGAGCATGTGCTTTCCAAAGGCAAGGCAGACCTGCCAAGCTAGCTGTTAGCACCGATGACTGGGTGAGACCGCATCCGCGCACATCACGAGTCATATATTTGTTCCCGTAATCCGCAGGGTTTGTTGCATGTTTTTCCCCGCGATTCTGTCAGGGCTGATACAGCAAAGCTGTTTGTTTGCAATAAGCATTTTTGTCGGGAGATCTGTATGAGAATTGGAGAATGGCAGACTTTGTCTTTTATCAGCCGAGTTTGTTACCATTCAGACACATCATGTGCTGCTGTGTTCGCCACATGTTTACAATCCTCTAGATTATCGGCAAGGCTAATAGTTGAAATAGACAGTGAAAGAGACCTGCTGCACTGCTGTCCACTGTTTCTGCATTCAGACACGACATTCGGGAGGAGAGAAGTCCTCCTCATTTATACTGTTTATATAAACACAAATATATTTATGATGATATAACAAATTGTGGTTATGTGCAGTGCTTAATTTGTGAATTGCAAGGTCACGGACCATAGTGAAGAGGGGGTGGGGGGATGGTGGGGCGTTGGATGGAGGAGGGGAGTAACAAATGACAAATGTAGAATAGCAAATGTAGCAGTCATGAAATGACTTACTGTTTATTTCTTTGCGTTTTTAATTTGTAAACTATAAAATCGAAGTTGGCCACAGAGTGAAATGACTTGCCTTAAAGAGACTTTGGTTTCATGGCCCTTTAAATAGCAAATAAACGCAACACACTGAGAAAAAAATATAATAATAACAAGATGAATGAATGACATATTGAACATGGAAACAAATATTTTAAGAAAAAAATGAGCACATGGATGAATGCACACTTCATAAATACTACACTCAAAAACTTATTTGTACTTCTTGTTCTAACTACTTATTTAAAATGAGCTGGAACAACAAAATTATTTGATTTTTTTGTTGTTTTAAGTTCAATCCACTTCAATTTGTTAATTTAACTTGATCGATTTGTGTTGGAAGGTTCTGAATTATGTAAAACCCTGCTTTTTTATACAGTCTACTAATTCTCTAAATTTCTGCATACTTGTTCAAAGCTGAAACATTTTGGCAACCTCAATATATTTAATTAAAACTGCAATAATATTCCAGAATATCCCAGGGGCCAGATTCATTGTGTTGTTTAATTTTCACTTCTCTGATTATGGGTTTGACAGTATCTATTTTTTGTCTTGCTTTTAATCAGCCTTCGTTTTAATTATGGATGCATAAATCATAATATCTGTCGTTTAGTCTGTTTTCAGTTGACGGATTGATAGTTTTTGTTTATTTTGAGGGCCCACTGTAAAAATGGCAGAAAATGTTCATTCATTTTATGGAATATGCAACTTGTACTGTACGCCACTTTTTTTTTTTCCTTGCTGCATTTTAAAATATGCTTGATTTCAATAAAAATCTGTAAAAAAAAAAAAAAAAAAAAAGGCTACAGTAAAAATCCATAACCTGGTAAACAGTAAGTTTCTTTATTATATTCAGTAAATAACTGTTTTTTTTTGTTTGTTTTTTGTTGTTGTTGAAATAACTATGGTTTTTGTCATGAATTATGAATTTCTATTTTTTCTCATGAATTATGTACTCTGGTGTACAAATATGATCATAATTTAATGAAATACTAATTTACAGTATTTACAGTAATTTACTGAAATAGTAATTTACAGTAAAATTTAGAAATGTATTTTAGGTTCCTACCGTATTTTTAACTCCAAACCCCCGGCAATCACAGCTTCCATTTTTTTAACTATAAAATTATTATTATTATTTCTATAATGCATAACAAAATAAACCCACATCAGTACGCGAAGAAATATTGAAGGATGCAACCGTTTCAAGTTCAGCCAGGCATTGTACACCCTTTCCCTTTAAAAATCTTCTTGCACTTTTTCACTAGTCTCAAAAGTCAAAGTGCACAGATCATATAATAGCCACAATCCTCAATAAATAAAATACAGTAATTTACAGTCAAATTTATGAATGTAGTTATGTTCTTACCAAGTTTGAACACTAAAATCCTGGCAACCACAGCTGCCATTTTTTACCACAACATTTACAGATTTTTTACAGTTTTATGGTGTATAAAACATAAATCCGCATCAATTTGAGAAGGAATATAGAAACATAAAACCGTTTCAAGTTCAGCCTGTCGTTGTACACCATTTCCATTTGGAAAACTTCTTGCTTTTTTCCACTAGTCTCAAAAGTCAAATTATACAAGTCATATAACAGCCCTGTTCACCAATTAATGAAATACAGTAATTTACAGTCAAATTTAGAATTGTATTTGGTGTTTTTAGCGTATTTTTATTGATAAAATCATGGCAACCACAGCTGCCATTATTTAACTATAAATATTGATGGATTTTATTTTATTTTTTATTGTGTATAACAACGTGATTTCACACCAATACTAGAAGAAATGTTGAAAGATACAGCAACTGTCTCAAGTTCAGCCAGGCATTGTACACCATTTCCCTTTAGAAAACCTCTTGCTCTTTTCCACTAGTCTCAAAAATCTAAGTGCACAGGTCATATAATAGCCAAAATCCCCCCAAAATAAAAAAGCCATATACAGTCAATTTTAGAAATGTATTTTATGTTCCTACCATATGTTTAACGTTAAAATTATAGCAACCACAGCTGCCATTTTTTAACTACCGGTACATTTTTTTTTTTTGAATGATGTACAAAGTAAATCTACATAATTACTAAAAGGAATTTTGAAAGATGCAACTGTTTAAGTTCAGCCAGTCATTGCATACCATTTCCCTTTAGAAATCTTCTTGCTCTTTTACAGTAGTCTCAAAAGTCAAAGTGCACACATCATATAATAGCCATGTTTGCCAATTAACAAAATACGGTAATTTACAGTAAAATATACAATTGGATTATGTTTCCAGAGTATTTTTATGCTAAAATCTACATCTGCCATTTGTTCATCATAAACTTTACAGACTTTTTATAGTTTTATAGTGTATAACAAAATAAATTCACATCAATATGAGAAGAAATATTGAAAGATGCAACCGTTTCAAGCTCAGTCAGCCCCTGTACACCATTTCCCTTTGAAAAAACTTCTTGCTCTTTTCAACTAGCCTGAAAAGACCAAGTGCACAGGTCTTATAATAGCCTTTTTCCCAAATTAATAAAATACAGTCATTTACAGTAAAATTTAGAAATGGATGTTATGTTCCTACCATATTTTAACACTAAAATCCCAGCGACCACAGCTACCATTTTTTAACTATAAAATTTTTAATATTTTTTAATGATATATAACAAAGCAAATCTATATCAATACGAGAAGAAATATTAAAAGATGCAACCGTTTCAAGATCTGCCAGTCATTGTGCACTATTTCCCTTTAAAAAAACTTCTTGCTCTTTTCCACTAGTCTCAAAAGTCAAAGTGCACAGGTCACATAATAGCCACCACCCCAATTAATAAAATACAGTAATTTACAGTAACATTTGAAAATGTGTTTTATGTTTCTAGCAAATTTTTTACGCTAAAATCCCGGCAATTTTTAATTTTTTTTTGACGGTGTATAACAAAGTAAATCCACATCAATACGCGAAGAAATATTGAAGGATGCAACCGTTTCAAGTTCAGTCAGCCATTGTACACCCTTTCCCTTTCGAAAACTTTTTGCTCTTTTCCTCTAGTCTCAAAAGTCAAAGTGCACAGGTCATATAATAGCCACGTTCCCCAAATACCACGGTCTTCAGAAGCAGCGCGGCAAACTCAGGACTCATTACTGCAATCACACAACTCTCCCGCACATCCCGCCATCATGCTGATGAGCTCGCAGAGCCCTAAAAGGGGTCAAAAGGGATCAACGATCTGTCATTTTAACTCACCACACCATTCTCCTTGATTGTCCGTCAGGGTTTCAAAGGACGGGACGC